TCACCGGACGAGCAGCAGCGCATCATCAAGGTGTCGACCTCGGCCGACCTCAGGAGGAGAGCTCCCCCAGTGGCGGGGCTGCTCACATCGGCGCCGCCGACTCCGTCGGTCCGGCCGTCGGTGTCAGCGCCCGCGCCCGCGCCCGCGGCACCGCAGCAGCAGCAGCCACAGGCCGACGTACAGCTGTCGAGCGCGACCCCAGCGGAACTATACGAGAGGGTTCATCTGATGATCAAGAGCATCATGGCGGTGGTCACTAGCGGAGGCAGCAAGCTAAACAAGGCAGAAGTGAACGCCATCTCTGGCTACGGACAGGAGGTACTGGCGGCAGCAGGAGTCATGGACTTGCGCATGTTGGAGGCAGAGGCAGCTCTTAAACTTAAAGATGCCAAGCTGCAGCACAAAGAAGCTGAGAACGAGCTCCTGAAGGCGACTCAGGGCGCAGCAGCGCCAGCAGCAACGGTATCTTCCTTCCAGCCCAGCAGCCGCCAGCCGACCTTTAGCGACATGGTGCGCAGTAGGACTGGCCAGATACCAATTCCAGCAGCTAAGGGCCCAGTGATCGCGGTGTACCCGGCAGACTCAGCTTCCGAGACCCTAAAGACTGCTGAAGACACCAAGGCGGAGTTGAAGAGGGCCGTCGACCCGCGCAGAATAAACGTGCAGATTGATCGCTTGCGGAAGGTAGGAAACGCGGGTGTGGTCATCCAGACCACATCCCCCGAGTCGGCCAGGCGCTTCAAAGAAGCAATCCCAGCTTCTCTGCGGGTGACGGAGCCTAAGCAGCGGCTGCCCCTCGTGGTGGTGTCCTCCATCACCGGTGACCCGGACCTCAAGGAGTTCGTGGAGGCTCTTCACGAGCAGAATGTCGCGAGCAACGAGAGCTGGCCCCTCGAGCGCTTTACCAAGGAGTGCAAAGGAGTTTTTAAAAAGAGCCGCCGGGGAAGTGGGACCACAGCAGTGGTCCTTGAGTGCTCCCCGGCCTGCAGGTTACTCCTATGCGAGCTGGACCGTGTGTACGTGGGCTGGGACGTGGCCTACGTGAACGACTTTCTAACNGGTCGCGTGAACTGGCGATCTGCACGCGTTGGTGTGGTTGAAGCTTAACGTAACCGCACGGTTATGGCCCCGGTGCCTCGCCACGAGAACCACCCAGGAACCGCGCGACTATATTTGAACTGTGAACTTAAATGAGTAATTTTTGTACCATCGGCAGCTGGGAGGTGCGCGGCAGCTACCACCGGCGGCTGTGCGGGCCCGCGCTCACGCTCGCGCTGGCGCACCTGGCCGTGGAGCTGCCGCACGCGTGACGTCACACCCGCCCGTAACCACCGCCGCACGCGTGACGTCACACCCGCCCGTAACCACCGCCGCACGCGTGACGTCACACCCGCCCGTAACCACCGCCGCACGCGTGACGTCACACCCGCCCGTAACCACCGCCGCACGCGTGACGTCACACCCGCCCGTAACCACCGCCGCACGCGTGACGTCACACCCGCCCGTAACCACCGCCGCACGCGTGACGTCACACCCGCCCGTAACCCACTGACCCTGCTGCGCCGTCGACCCGCGCAGACTGAACGTGCAGATCGACCGCCTGAGGAAGGTCGGCAACGCGGGCGTGCTCACCCAGACCACATCCCAATCGGCCAGACGATTCAAAGAGGCAATCCCGGCTTCTCTGCGGGTGGCGGAGCCCAAACAACGGCTGCCCCTCGTAGTGGTGTCCTCCATCACTTCATGAACAAAATGTTGCGAGCAACGAAAGCACCAAGGAATGTAAGGGAGTATTTAAGAAGAGCCGTCGGGGAAGTGGGACAACCCCAGTGGTCCTCGAGTGCTCCCCGGCCTGCAGACTGCTCCTTGTAAGCTAGACCGAGTTTATGTGGGGTGGGATGTGGCGTACGTAAACGACTTTCTGACAGTGACGTGCTGCCACAAGTGCCACCAATATGGGCACCTGGAAAAGTACTGCAGGGCGACAGACTTGGTGTGGCGTTCACGAGGCCGACTTGTATTCACCATCACACATTCACCATCTCGAGCGGGTCTTCGATGTGTTGAACGGGAAGCGTATCGTGGTGGGAGTAGACGCCAATGCCCATTCACCTTTATGGCACAGCAGGCCTGGCCGAACAACTGGGCGAGGCAGAGTGGCTGACCATCGCAGGTCGTCGGTTGAGGACTTCATCCTGGGACACGACCTCGTCGTTGTTAACACCTCTGTCCAACCGGCGACCTTCAGCACAGCAAATGGGGAATCCAGCGTGGATGTGACCCTAACAACTAGAAACGTATTAGCTACTGGCTGGAAAGTGCACGTGGGGGTGTACGAGTGACCACGTCTACGTCCTACGTCTTATAACATTCAGGGTGAGCCAAGCCACAACACGACGAACTAGCGTGCGCAGAGCCAGGGAGGAGCCTTCGAGATTTCGGGACCGGGGTATCAATTGGGACCGCTTCGAGAGTGCTATCCATGAGCGAATGGGATATCTGGACATGAGGGAGCCCGCGTCCGTGGACACCGCACCAGGACTGGATGGAGTGACTGCGAGGATGCTGACGCATGAGTGGAAGGCTGCATCGGTGGAGTTCCACTTGGTGTACGCCAAGTGTGTGGAGGAAGGTGTGTTCCCAGACGTTATGGAAGGATAGTCGGCTGCTCGTGCTGCCAAAAGGCAATGACAAGCCTCTCACCGACCCCAAGGCGTACCGATCCTGGGTAAGTTTCTTGAGCGTGTCATGCTACACTGCGCGCCTCAGATTTCTAGCGGGATGTCGGACTGCCAGCATGGCTTCACCAGGGGCAAGTCGACTGTGACAGCGATCGACGCGATTACCGACACGGCCAGAGCGTCCACAGCGAAGTATGTCCAAGCAGTGTTTCTTGACATCTCGGGTGCGTTCGACAACGCCTGGTGGCCGATGGTGATGCTGAAGGCGAAAAGAGGAGGATGCCCGCCCAATGTCTATCGGATGTTGGCGGGATACTTCTCCGGACGCCGGGTTGGCTTAACCGTCGGCAGCCGGGAGTTGTGGAAAGTCTCCACCATGGGGTGTCCGCAGGGTTCTGTGCTTGGGCCAACGTTGTGGAACGTCATGCTGGACGACCTGTTGAGATCGCCGATGCCGGAGGGGGTGACATGGTGGCGTATGCCGATGACGTCACCATTTTGATTGAGGCGCAATCGAGAGCCAGCATCGAGTCAAAGGCCACAGAGGCCCTTAACATCGCGTTGATTGGGGAGCCCGGAACCGACTGGGATTTTCTCCTGCCAAGTCGTCTATGATGACAATCAGGGGGAAATTCCAGAGGCCCCTAATCATCAAGTTTGATGGCGCCTCGATCCGACAGGTGAGCTCAGGAACAGTACTCGGCGTGGTGATCGATTCGGGTCTCTTGTTCACGCAGCATGCACAGGACATTGTAGAGCGCGCAGCCAAATGCTTCGGGAAGGTTTCGCGTGTGTCTGCGTCCTCCTGGGGCATTCGATATCCCGGCCCGCGCATTCTCTACCAGGGAACGTTCGTTGCCACGCTTGTGTATGCTGCGGCGTGTTGGTTCGAGCGGGTCAAAGTCCAGTCGGTAGGCGGGATTGTCCTGAGGGGGCAGAGGCCGGCACTCGTGCTGCTGACGAAGGCCTACCGGTCTGTCAGCACGGCCGCGCTCCCGGTCTTGGCCGGAGTGTTGCCCGCCGACCTCGAGGTGGAGTATGCTGGACGGACGGCTGTACTGAGGACGCGCCAGCTCGCGACCCTGACGAGATGAGCAGTCGAAAGCGCTATATACGGGACTCGGTGATCGTATTTTGGCAGCAGCGTTGGCAGCAGGAAACCAAGGGTCGAGAGCTCCATCAGTTCAGCATGCGCTGGATCCAACCGGACTATGTAACCTCGCAGATACTCACTGGACATGGATGCTTCAACAAAAGGCCGAGTGACATGAAGGTGCGAGAGGGGAGTATGTGCGAGTGCAAAGAGAGTGAGGAGAACAGGCACCACCACGTATTGTGGCACTGTCCTTTGTATGAAGACCTGCGGTGGAAGATGCTGAGCGGGATAGCACTCTCGGAGGGTTACGGTCCTGCGTGGTACCCTGATCTTGTCAGCTCGGAGGCGAACTTCGCGCGGCTGCGAGGATTCGCGCACGCGTGGCACAGGAGGCGGAACAGCCAGACGCCTAGCGGCCAGGCACCGGACGGTGCCAACGTTTCAGTAGAGTCCATGCCCCAGAAGGGGGAGAGTGGCAAAGAGGGACAAATGGACGAAGAATAAAGAACTTGTAGAGAGTCAAGCATTGCGCGCGGTGGAGTGCAATCTATAACGTATCAACTTGCCGAGTAATGATCTGATTACGATATTATGTGCCTTTATTTAAAGTATTAGATGTTATAGGAACTTAGGTTTTTTGTTAAATTGCTATTTTATGCTTATTTTGTTTACCAATTTTTTTCATTCTAGTTTTAAGACTGTATATTATACGTAAGGATATTATAATTAAAATTTTAAACAAGGTAATTTTGATACTATCATATATTTTTTTATAAAAATATAAAATTTGAACTTACTATGACTATCATTTAAATCCTTATAAAAATACAATCTTCTAATAAGCCTGTGAATCAATACTATATCCGTGCCTGAGCAGGACTGGGCCAGGTCCAGGCAGCTTTGCACATGCCTGGAATCAGTGTACATGGAAAATTGTGTTGTGTAATTCTGCGTAGCCACTTCGATACCATATGTTAATTGACTATTTATGGGCAGTCACTCAATCTAACACTGATTGTAATGGAGGAACACATTACTTGATATCAAGTTTGAATAACTGTGTTATTCCGATGTTGGTACAGTCTACAAATTATATTATTGTGTACTTATCATGACATTGTCTTTTGCAAAATCTTTTGAAAAACATCAGCGAGGATGATAACGATATTTTGTGAGTTATGGTTTGATATTATATGAATAATATCAAATCAATACGGCGGACGTCACTCGCGGAATAATAACTGGAGCTTCGAGGCTGCAACCAGCACCTGGAAACAAAAACATAAAACTCATTCTAATGATTTGGGGAAACTAATTAACGTTATGTGAGCTCAAAATTTGTGAAAGCGATTCGAAGGCTCGGTACTATTCGAGGCTCTCCGCCGTAAGAAACGGATTCCATCGAAGGATCTATTCACAATTAAATCAAATCAAAAATAATTTTGACCAGTATTTTGGCGCTCATGAACGTCAAATATGACGAAGACAACCCAGCGAAGGTTGTTGGAGAGTGTCTCGCGGTCGTGTATGCGTTCTCGTTCAGGAGAAAAGGCTGATTTACACGTATTAAGTAGGTAACTACATTTTAACTTATGCAGTATGTAACCACAGAATTTAGTAGCAAGTTGCAAGTTAAAATTTAGTTGTCAAAAAAATTTTAAGTAGCAAGTTGTTTACATGCAATTTAATCGCTTAAAATTAAGTTAACGTTTAGTTACTTACTTAACTAATTAATATGTGTAAGAGCGCTTTCACATAAGAGCGTTAGAAGCGCAACAGCAGCGCGGCAGCGGTGTTTTTACCCGACTGCGCCAGAAGGAGGGTTATCCCAACTAATATTATAAATGCGAAAGTAACTCTGTCTGTCTGTCTGTCTGTTACGCTTTCCCGCTTAAACCTCGCAACCGATTTTGATGAAATTTGGCATAGAGATAGTTTGAGTCCCGGGAAAGAACATAGGATAGTTTTTATCCCGGTTTTTGAAACAGGGACGCGCGCGATAAAGTTTTTCTGTGACAGACAAAATTCCACGCGGGCGAAGCCGCGGGCGGAAAGCTAGTGTTAAAATACATAATGAAATGGAGCATAACACATTCGCCAGATTTGAACCAGCATGCAAATGTTTTACACAAGTCAATTTATTATTAATTAAAATTTAAATAACATCTACCTAATTTGCTTACAGTCAGAATAATTCCTCCAGTCGTAATATTCCTTAAGGTGAATGATGATGTTATAATGTGAAGGCATGCATCCGCTGTCACATAGTATGTTCGGCAGCACGACTATCGCGCTGCCCTGCTAAATCGCCTAAATGTAAANGGCTACGGCCCTGCGTGGTACCCCGATCTAGTCAGCTCGGAGGCGAACTTCGCGCGGCTGCGATGTTTCGCGCACGCGTGGCACAGAAGGCGGAACGGACAGACGCCTAGCGGCCAGGCACCGGATGGTGCCAACGTGATAGTGGAGTCCATGCCCCAGAAGGGGGAGAGTGGCAAGGGACAAATGGACAAAGATTAAAGAACTTGTAGAGAGTCAAGAATTGCGCGCGGTGGAGTGCAATCTGCCGTAGGCAGCCGCAATTCCGCGCGCATCTCTCAAGATTCGGCCACAATAACCGCGAGGTTGGTATGGCCATGGGTGGTGGTGGGATTTGATGGGCATTAGCGTCTGCGATGATTAATCATTTGTTCTGTCTAGGTCAGTGCCTCCCAACCATAGTATAGCTTCTCATTCGTTTTTCACAGGTTTTCGGGGAATGTGCGAAGGAATTACACAATCTAATTTCACCAGCCCCTTTCATCACCGAGGAACCAGACGCAAGTTAGCGTTCCACCCTACATTGTCGACATTCCACCAGCAGCAACAGCAACTCTTTTATAATATGAACATCTAAAGACTGGAATCTTTCCCGTTCAAGGCGAGAGTGAATAGGCACTTACAGGGCAGGTATGTACTATCCTAGACGGCATCTCACTTAATTTTAGGCGGGACCATGTTGAAGTTTTGAGGTTGCATTATTTTGTACAAGTAGTAGTAATCCTAGGAAAATCGTTCATGGACCGTATTGTACACACGTATAGTCAGTATTCGTGACACCCAAAGTGGCTAAAAAGTTGACAACACAATCTTATTCCAATTGTAACAAAGACGTGTTGCGATCTTTTTGGCTACTTTGGGTGTCATGAACTATTTAACGTTGACTGTACCTGCGGCGGTGGTCCACACTGAACTTTTTCAATACTCTACTAGGTTGGTCCGCGGACCACTGGTTGGGAACCACTGGTCTAGGTATTGTTTTGCTTTGTTTTTGCGTGGGCGGGTTGCGCAAGCGCCGGTCCTGGTGTATTTGGGTATTGAAAGCGGTACGTGTCAAATCAGACGGCTGGGAATTTGGGTTCCGTTTGAAGAGACGGCTAGGTTTTATTATAAATCATGTAAAAAGTTATATTAGACCTTGTTCAATGACACTTTAATGTGTGTCAGAATATAATGGGGTGGTCCCTATATTTGTGACTTAATTAATTTGGTTTACTTAATCACAATTTTTGTTTGGTTATTATGAATTCTACCTAATTAATTACATAAAATAACATGCGAAATTACCTATTATAAATAATATAGGATGTAAATTAGTTAAGTAAATTAAGTTTTTTTACTATCACATCAATTACCTATCCCAAAAATAAGTAGAGCTTCCAGTAATATAGACTAAATAAATTACAAATGAATTTTATAATAATAAGTAAAGTACTACCTAGCACGTCTGTGACTCCGGGGTTGTTTTATTCTTGTAATTAATTGTAATATTTTTTGTTCTACCAAAGCAGTTACTTTGGCTTTAAATCTGCATAGTTACAATACAAGTTATTCAGTAATAACTTTAAATCTTAACCCAGCCTCTTTTATCGGAAATATGATAATTGTGCAGAGCAATAAACATAAACCAAGCTTATTTTAGCGCAAGGCTTTCGAGAGTGTAAAATATTGTAATAATTTTATCAGGGCCAGGCTAAGTAGGTATGACAGTAGACATATCAGACTATACATTGTTTGATAATAGTACTTATTATAATCACATAAGAGTCCATTATATGTAGCTTGAAGCGCCGTCGTCAGTACAACTGAAAATGCCGCGCCTCGACACCTAAATCAGAATGTGCTCGTGCAGGCAAATTGTATTTTATTAATTTTGTTTGTAAATAATGCATTCTTATGAGTAAGTTGACTGAGTTAATACAGATCAGACACCTGCTGTATTTTTGCGAGTGAATTGTAAATTATTCATTTTCAGCAAGATCTATTTCAGACACAGTTCAGCTGATATTTCAGCAGATTCTAAAATAATAAAACTTTCACTGTAACTCACAATTTTCTAATCGTTTACTTATTTTAATGGAATATGATTTTGTATAATTTCAGGAACACATGAATATACAGTCTTCTTTCTGATTTCGCAATTTATACATTTCATTCCATTGTTTTACTGTTTACCTTTGTCATGCATGCTGGTTTGGTCCACCTTTTCAATAACCAGTTTTGGTTCTTGCTGTCCAAATTTCCAGCTCATCAACGATCGGAATTCTTTAATTGTTCTTTTTCGTTTAATTTGAATAAAAAATCTCTGAGCATAATGGCATCTGCCGGTAATTAAAATTGTATGACCAGTAGTAATTCGGTTGGTTTTAATTTACAAGTTTTTTGGTGGTTGAGCCTTAATTCTTGTACGTTTCCTCGTACGACACGTTTATTGACAACTATTTCCTGTTATAATTACTCAGTTAATATGCGGCAATTGCATCGTAATGAGTTCCTTAATATATTGAGATGTCGTTTTGTTTGATTTATTTCGAATCTAGGATATTCTAGTTTATCAATAAATATTTGTTACATCCATTGAAAAAATTCAAGGCTATTTGAATTTTTTGCTGAAATCTTATTGAATAGATAGATACAGACATGAAGAACATTAACTAAAACTTAAAATTACAGGAAGATTACAAAAAAGCTTGTTGTTTTCCTTTAGTAGAGTTATTTTATTATGTCCATATAAATAACGCTTTTCTTAAAAGCGCTGCTCTATAAACTTCATTTAGTTGAAGTAACTATCCATCACAGAAATTAAGTAATTTAGTCGATTCAAATAGTTAATGTATTATGTATTACCTATTTCAGCATTAATATCGAATGTAAGTGAAGTCGTTAGAATTCTGTGGGTAATTTATATTGACTTGTAAAGGTTACTGACCTCATTGCACATATTTTGCAATTTGCGTAATTTACAAACAACGGCACATCATTTTGAGCTCTGTAACGTCTTATATAGGGGAAATAAGGGTTATTTTACTATAATAATGTATGATATGATGTGCTGTAAACTGTACATGCACCTTTAGCCCTTTAACCTTGATAATGACAGAAGAGGCTTCTCATTTATAATTAAATGGCAATAGGCAATGTAATCGAAACCTGATATCTGAAACCCGTTGTTTCTCATTATGTCATCAAAATCCATGTAATTATCTCTGTAATAAATATTATACAACATCGATCGAGAATCGATTAGTCAACCTGTGTATTGTCGCGAAACACTTCACGATCCATTTGAGGCTAGTTTATTGGCTGGATCATTGTCTATTTGTGATCATTGCGGGTCGTTTGTGGACGTGCTCATAGATCTTTATTTTGTTGATCTTTGGTCGGAAATATTGATTTTGATTTTGTTGGTTACGTTAAGACGTGTAATAAGTTACGGGTTCTATTTGTTAGTGACCATAAGTGTTATTAAAGAAATAATACAAATTATATAATCAGCTTCGTTGTCAGTTAGGTAGGGATATATGGATCTTAGGTACCTAGTCGCTTGTGTTGTACATTAGATGTTACTTCGAATAATAGAACTCGAAACAGGATGCTCCTGTTTCGAGTTCTATTATTATAGCAGGATAGGCAGGGTATTTTATGGGCGTGCTGCATAGCCCTTATAGGCTAGGAAAATTAGTAAATAGTATAATATCTATACCCCGAAACAGCATTAAGGCCTATGATGATAAAAGTAATCTGTTTCTCTATAATTTACTGCATAAATGCATTAATTATCATATACATTACAGATTCTTCCTCCCATTTAATTGCAATGTCACGCCGTTTAATTGTGCCGAATGCCTGTAAAAATAGTGCACGGTTGTCAACTTGCACAACCGCCTTTCACCGTGTTGCAACGCAGTGCAGTGGCTCATGCGATTTCGGGCGCAGTCAAGGCTGCAGC